CAGATTCGAAGGAACTACAATAGAACTAAACAATTAAACCAATCAACCAGAATTGAAGTCAATGAAGAAATAATCATACAACTAAACAATTAAGCCAGTCAGCTATGCATAGATTATCATACATCTAAACAACTAAGCCGATCAACCAATACTAAAGTCAGATTTAAAAAAGTCATTGTGATTAAATGTTTATTTAAATTGCACCTTGTACTGATTAATACAATAAAAAGCTAAAGGCAGACGTGTATTTCTTCTATGTATTTCTAACATGTAGTATGTTCCATCACTGGGACTTATCACATATCAAAAACCTTTGAATACTTCAGAAGTTCCTACAGGTTTAGCTTAAACGACTAAAACATGCATTAAAAAACAGCATTTCAAACTTTACTGAAATATATATATGTAAAGCTCTTAGCGACTAGAAAAGATGTATGCCTTACCAACTGGAGGAAGACAAACTGGACGAATAAAGCGCTCATATGTAATCGGCCGACTCAACTTTAGCAAGGCAATGTCATGATCATATGTTGTGTAGTTGAACTTTTCATGGAGACGTATGTCTGTCACTTCAAACTCTTTAAGGTCCGAACTGTTACGTATATCCAGTAAACCTAAAACATAAAGTAAAACAACCTTCATATGCTAACAAACATATACATAAGCTTTACAAAATACTGTATCTTCAATATTGACAATAATAAAAGTTATGAAACCGAAACATTATTATAAAACATTGGTATCAAAAACATCTACACGTGTTTACTTGACAATAATCACGTGTAAAAAACAAAATATCAGAAGGGGATATAACAAAAATGTATATTAATTTTTAAGAAAACATATGGCAGACGCGAAATAATTGATGACTGAATGTATAAGCAACAAAATATTAACTTCAGTGAAATTTAATAACCCCCGGTGTGGACGCATTGAACAATTTGATATAAAGAAGTTATCTAAGAAAACAATGTTTGAATATATATAGTGTCGGTTTCACATAATACTTAATGAAAAATTCAATGTCCCTTCCTCTGCCCCCCCCCCAGCGGTATGTCTGCGGATTTGCAACGCTAGAATCCGGGTTTCGATACCCGTGGTGGGCAGGGCAAAGATATCCCATTGTGTAGCTTTGTGCTTAATTACAAACAAACAAAACCTTCCTCTGTATTAAACATTTAGAAGTTAACTCCAGTTTTAAGTGAGTAGAGGCATGTAGTCGAGTATTTAATGTTACTTTTAGTTCTTATAATATCAAAGACCACACGACACATTGTCCTAAAATTTTCAAAATTAAATTATAAGATTAATGTTAAGATAAACTAAGTTTTTATTATCTACTTCCCGTCCTTATTCATTGTTGTTTTCAAAGAGTTCTTATGTCAGCATTGTTTCTTGCATCTTTGCGACACTTACGCTGAAGTTAAGAGGTCATTATACGAACACTTTTTAATCCAAAGTTTACTGCTCTTTCAAAGATCACTCCCGCTGGTGACTCAGCGGTGAGCTTGATGACTATAAGGCTAAAATTCTGAGTCTAGTAGTTGGAGAGGGCACGGCACAGATAGCCCAACGTGTAGCTTTGAGCTTAAAACAAAAACAAACAGAGCACACTGAGATTTGTCCCAACTGATCGCCATCTATTGTAGGAATATCACACGAGTTTCTTGTAAAGAAGTAATGTTTAAAATAACAGACACCATGTAAAAAGTGTGTAAGATATTCATGTGAATAGTAGCAGAAGAAATGAGCAACGTATTGTGATATATTTAACGTGTAAGATATTCATGTGAATAGTAGCAGAAGAAATGAGCAACGTATTGTGATATATTTAACGTGTAAGATATTCATGTGAATAGTAGTAGAAGAAATGAGCAACGTATTGTGATATATTTAACGTGTAAGATATTCATGTGAATAGTAGTAGAAGAAATGAGCAACGTATTGTGATATATTTAACGTGTAAGATATTAATGTGAAGAGCAAGTAAAGAAATCAACAAATAGTGATGTATTTAGTGTGTTAGAAGTTTGACAGCACATGAGTTTCGCGAAATGTGGAACAAACTGAGAAGGTGATCTGACACACACTCAGACGGTAACTGCAAAACTAAATTAGCCTTGAGAATAAGATTATTTCATACTTACCCAGTTTGACAGTAACATTAGCTGGTACTAAATATTCTACTTTCTTGGGGTCAGCGTTTTTTATCACAAAACAATGAGCAGCTGTGAGTATCCACTCCCTGTCCACTATTGACCCGCCACATCCCAGCTACAGTGAAATATAAATAATACATTTCTCAGCTGACTTATCACTACAAGAGCAAACTCGTTATATGGATAGTTTCATAACAGCATTTCTGAATCGTAGTTTTGTTTCTTAGCAGAGAACGTAGTAAATGTTAATACATCATTATCAACACGTATGTACAGTAATATTATATTTATATAGATTCTCGCGTTACATTCTGGTATTGCTTTACATTACATCACATAAATAAGTAGTACTAATTACAGTTCGTAACTTGGTTAAAGAAATTAAACTTGCATTATAGCGGCCCCGTAAATGTGGGCCCAAGGGTTCGGTAGTTCTCATAATATTGTGGAACAACCAAAAGGTACAACTTCATACAAGTAGTTATTTCATTTTTGGTTTACCATATTTGGTTTACCATAATTGCTATGTAATTCGATTACTAGCCAATTGTAACTGATTTTTCTTCTTTCATGATGTCCTTGTATGGTTTCGGTTATTTATTTTTTTTTATCTTCAGCAATCTTTTATTAATTCAATTCTCAACAAATCCCTTTCCATAAAAACACCTGCTGTTGGGAATCTCAGTCAGAAAACAAGAAAACAGAATGACAACACCTTCAAAACCTACGATTATCGTCCTTGGGAAGACCACGAACGATTATCGAAACATTGTGCAATTTGTATTTCATTAGAAGTTACAACTTTTACAATAAGGAAGATTATTTTTAAGTACCACGTTTCGATCATTGGTGCAATCATTCTCAAGTACACGGGTTTTAACCGTTAAGAAGGTTTCAGTATTTAAATCAACATTCAACAATCTAACGTCGAACCCGTTCTAAAAATAATCTTACTTACTGTAAAAGCTGTAGCTTGTAATAAAGTTTACTTAATCAGTAAATAAACTCAAGATGAAACTATTAACTGTGCAATTATCATTACAGAATTTAACAATCAATTCTCAATTTGATTGAGTTGTTTCAGAGTTGTTTTAACATACTTACCTTTTCAAAGTTTTCAAGTTGATAATATATGGCAGCCATCCAAGGCCAAGGTTTATCAGCCCTCTGTTCTCCTGCTTTGTTCATTTCCTCTAACACTTCATCCATACCGTAACCGCATACAGAATAGTCTATGCACAAAAAAACATGTATATTAATATTTTAGCTGACAAAACTAATATATAAAACTGTTTCGTTTGATAGTTTCTTTATAATATTTTGACATTACTTAGTATTTGTAAAGTGACTTAGATGCGTTCAAGTTTAAATCCCGCGTGTTTTTACTAGTGTTTGATTGCAAAACATGTTATGTATGTGCTTACAAAGCTCAGACAACAAGGTACCGCGACAGCGTTATGATTGCCTCTCGTTTTCTGTAATAATACATTTTTTAAATACAAAGAAACCCGTTTTTAATGTATATAATAATAATATTTGTTATATTAAAATGTCTTTTCTACCTTTCAAATGTCATTGATATTACTAAATATAAAACATTCAGAATGTATAATGGATATTCTCTAATAATTGTTAAGTCTGATATTTAAAAATAACTAGCCTAAAATGTTAACTGTAAGATAACCTACAATCATTATATGTTTAAAAGTATAACATTTTTATGGTTATTGTTACTTGAATATTATAATACCCTCTTAATAAACAGGTCAATTCTATGATTCTAATGAAATGTCGAAAATGAGAGGCAATCATAACGCGGTCCTGTTAGGGATAATCCTGTAAGGGAAATTTTGTGGTACATTTCTCGTTCGAAAGACCACAACTAGCTCATTATCAGCATAGTTTGGGTGATCTTTTATTAAACCAAATCTAAATCACTAAGAAACTGTTCATTTATTCTACGACCCCAATTCTCTTTGAATTCTGAAGAACAAATCTAGAACACAGATTCTTTTTAAATTGTAACATTCTGGTGTCGGTTCACTTATACATCTTAAATTATTTTGCTTTAATTTATTATGATATTTCTATCAAGTTAATTTCATCTTTACAGTTCAGGAAAATTATAGCTTAGTCAATCTTTTAAATTCCCACATCATCAGTTTCCACTTGCCATAGTACCAAAATTTTTGTTTTTATTTTTCAACTCGTAGTTCAATTAAGCTGATTCTAATCCATGAATATATACTAGTATTCTTTCATGTGAAATCCAAATAACTAATAATAAACCAGAGTATATTTTTTTCTTTAAAAATAAAACTGAACATTTTAAGACAATAATTACCAATAAGTTATTTGATGTTCCAAATATATTAAAAAGCTGATTATAATACATTTTTTCATAAACTGCTTATTCGTTTGTTTTAATTGCATCATCTACCGTATTATAACTGTTTAATGTAATTAACATATCTAGCTGTATTTTTACATTTATAATAACTAAATATTAATCAAAGGTTAGATAGGAAGCAACAGTTGTTTTCATGATGGCTCCTATCGCTGTTATTTAAATTAATTTGTATCTGTCTGTTTGAATGTTTTATAATGTCCGTGAAGATAATTGAGGCCAATAGATTTCGTGTTTTGTTTTCAACGGTGTCTTCGATATGTTAGAACACATTTAATATATAATACTTACCTACTGTTCCATTAATGACAGCATTAACCAGCCAATCAAGGGTCTCGTAGTTCTTTAGAATATACACATGTTCTTTCACAGAAGACGCCATATCTTTTAATTCACTTATGTCATAATCTCCTGTTAGTGCAATACAGTAAATTTCAGCATGAGCTTCTTCTCTAAGTTCTTTAGCCACCTGCTTTGGATCGCCCCTCATATTTGCTTTCCCTAAAAATGTGAATAAGGTTATAACTCAGCGTATCAGTGCCTTATTAACGTATCATGATCCATCATAGTGTTGTTTATTGTTACAGTAGAAGCACTTTTGTTAAACATAAACCGGAAGTTGTACCTAACATAATTAAATTCATTTGGTTTGTTTTGTCAGACAGATTATATTAAAATATATTGAAATAGAGTTTGTTTTGTCAGATAGATTATATTAAAATGTATTGAAATAGAGTTTGTTTTGTCAGATAGATTATATTAAAATATATTGAAATAGAGTTTGTTTTGTCAGATAGATTATATTAAAATATATTGAAATAGAGTTTGTTTTGTCAGATAGATTATATTAAAATGTATTGAAATAGAGTTTGTTTTGTCAGATAGATTATATTAAAATATATTGAAATAGAGTCTGTTTTGTCATATAGATTATATTAAAATATATTGAAATAGAGTTTGTTTTGTTTTTGTTCAAGAACATCGTGCATCTAGTACAAATGACTTGTCTTATCATATAAAAAAAAAAGATTTTCACTTATTGTTAACAAAAAAAAACGGATTAGGATGAAAACAACAGTATACGAAGATGTCAAAGTTAAATTGTTGTCACGTGATTTCGCACTAACAAAATACTTTCTTCAAAGTTTATAACAAAATTTTTCTGCCATACTGATATCGGTGTATATGACAAACCAGACTTCAGACTTTTATTTAAATGTGTGAATCTATCTGAATAGGTTCGATAAAAAATAAATAGTTGAACATCTAAATTAAACACAATAAACAAACACACACACAAAGAGAAAAAGAAAATAAAACAGAGAAAGGACAGTAAGTTCAAACAAGCTCAAAGTGTTAGCAAAATATAAAATTAAATATGAAATAAAGAGCAGTACACTTAAAATAGGAGAATGAAAATACAAACTGTGACTGATATAATGGTGTATTAGAAAAAAAAACACTTTCATAAAGAAACAACTTGTACTTTCAAGAGTTTGTTAGAGTTGTCTTGATAGACCCAAAATTATACCGTAACCTTCATGGTTTAAATTTACGCTGCCTATATCCTCTTAAGCCTCTCTGTGTGTGTGCTTTTTCCATACATTGTTGACTAACCGCATCGTTTCACGTACCTTCAGTTCTTTTTTTGCTTTTTGTATGTTTCTTTACCATTTTGTTGATGAAGCTGATAACACTGGTATCTGTAAGACTGTCACGCTGTTTCCAGTTCTAGACAGGTCAATGGTTATTCTGTAAAAGGAAACTGGTTACGCTTTTGGCGCTCTCATCATAATCAATGATGAAGTGATTTACTGCTCGGGCTCTTGCTGATGAACTGGGTCTTTTCATTTTGTACTGAAAATCGCAATGCTGACACGTCAATCCTTAGAAAGCATTATCTTAGTAGTAGGTCATTGTATCTCCACTAAGGTTGAGATGCCCTTATTAGTGTATTTTAATATGATGACATTCATCATGGTGTCCCCACTACAAAAGGGTATTCTAGAAACTTCCGAGATACCTATCTCATGTCATATCAAAAGGAAACCGGTAAAGCAGTGAGCTTTGATGGTCAGGGCCTTTTATCCAATCCTAGTGTTCAAAACAGGCTACACGTTAGCCTATTTTAAGAAAAATGTCAAATAGAAATGAGAAAAGTTAACATTCATTCTTGATTATGAGCTCTCAGACCAAATGAATCGTAAGAAGAGGTTCAATATTATCATTACTCTGAAAAAGTAAAACAACAACAACAACTCTAATTAGCTTATTCAGATTCTTCTGTGTCCAAACAAAGATACGCTCAACAGTAATATATTTCACTCAGATTGCTCAGATTACGATTACGCTCAGAGTTCTTTCTTTAACTTCTGAGTAATAACTTTGGCTCCTTGTTCAAAAACAAAAAGCGGAATAACATCACAAAAGTAAAAGTACTTTTACTGAACGATGTTTCAAGAAACCGCTCTTCGTCAAGCTTTGATCAAGTTTATCATTTGATTTTCTTTTGCAAATTTAGACTTAGCAGTTATCTACTTTTTTATTTGCATTTATTTCATTTTTCTTACTTTAACTAATATTTATTTGTCATTGATTCAATCAAATTAAGTAAAGCAATATTTTTAGACTGTACAACCATTCTTACACATATTTATTATAGCACGTAGTTTGTAGTTTAAACCTCGTGCTGTTCTGTCCAACATTTGTTGTAAGTTCTAACCTTCAATAGTCTACTGTTAATTCTGAGGAAGGGAGGTAGCCTGGAATTTTAAGTATATTAATAAATACATCTTTTGTTTTTTTTGTTCTTACTTTCATTGCTGAAGCGATCTCTGTCAACTGTTTAACTATAGATTTGTCAGTAAAACAAGTAGCAACTTAAAGTGTTATAAATGGGCTAGTACGTATAAGGCTTTTTATATTTTTTACCACTATATTCTTTATTCAGTCCCGAGAGATATGGCGAACATATCGTGGTTGAGATACTATTATAAACTCGCCTTTTACCCTAAGGAAATTGAGGTATGCGACGATTGAAGTGGAGGTATTACTGGAATACTTATTTTGATGAACGCATATCCTGTTGGGGTCAATACTAGGTGGAGATCATTTTTGGTTAAAGTGGGTATTGTTACCTGGGTCGGGTGGATGACCTTTGCCCCTGACCTTTGAGTTCGTGGGTTCTCATCTGCATTTTGCTTACCATAGCTGTGGTAAAATTTGTTGTAGATCTCTTTCTGGTGGGTTCTGGGTCCTCAAACTGATCCATATTTATTGGTTTTCCAATGTGATTAAGTACAAGGGATATTCCCGTTTTAAGTATTCTAAGTCTCCGATTTCAACTCATCTTTATGACCTGAGCGTACGCATATTTTGCGTCAAAAAGGACTGTTAAATATCCTTTACAAATGTTATTAATGTCCAGTGGCATCATACTACCTAAGTAACGCCAAACAATGTCAAAAATGTACTTCTGATACATGCTGTTCCACCACGCCTTTACATTGGCTATGGTTCTCCCGTGACTTGCTGATTTGCATATTTAAAATATCTAACCAATGCTTAGGTTTCTTGATATTTTTCCCACATATTTCAACCCTTCTTCAACTTTTATTGCCTAGATATTTTTTAGTGCCACGAAGTACTCTATGAAGACGTTCTTTTGTTAAAACCTAGTTCGAAGATTCAAAACTTTGGATTTATCAATATAGTAAATTATTACGAACTTTTTGCATATTTTTTTCAATAGTAGATTGCATTCTTGTTTCAGAAATAATATTATAAAAACTCAACATATTAAAATATAATTTTATAATCTACATGAAATTATCTTATAATTAGAGTGAACAAGCATGCTAAAGTTACTTTTTACAATCTGTCATTTGATGATGCAGAATCGTTTTTATTAACCACAACACCTTTTCCGTGCAAGATGTAAGCGTCCGCCATTACGATTCCTGTTAACCACATTAAGCTGAAACAGGTAGAAAAAAATTAATTTATTTTATTAATTTTAGTGAGATGCTACTTGCCTACTAAGTCTTGTACTAACTTTTGGATACTGATCTATTTCTTCTTATTGGTCTAAATATTAATAAATATGTTTGATCCTAATTACTTTGTTCTGCAAAGGAACTGCAGACATTTAATTGAGATTTTTAAACTGCAATCGTTGACCGACTCTATAATGTAATGTTACAGACAATTATGACATTTTGGAACCAGTTACCCACTCTTCCCTACTTTACTGTGGCTTCAGGTGTTAACCAAAGTTACAAACAATTATGCCATATTGGAACCAGTTACCCACTCTTCCCTACTTTACTGTGGCTTCAGGTGTTAACCAAAGTTACAAACAATTATGCCATATCGGAACCAGTTACCCACTCTTCCCTGCTTTACTGTGGCTTCAGGTGTTAACCAAAGTTACAAACAATTATGCCATATCGGAACCAGTTACCCACTCTTCCCTGC